CGGACTATTACTTGTTCCGGTCGATGCAGCACGGCTTGGTGGATACACACTTCAGAAATTACGAGGATGTGCGAAAATGGATCGACGAATGGATTACATCAACAGACCAATCGTTCTATCGTCGCGGAATCTACGCATTGCCCGAAAGATGGGAAAAATGTATAGCTAGCGAGGGAAAGTACTTCGATTAATGTATTTTTTGCTTTTGATGTCGAAATAAATGAGTTTTTTAAACAAAAAAACCGCAGGAACCACCTAATACTTTTGGTTGTGTGAAAATGTCTGATTTTGTGCCAAATAATCGTCATTTGCGGGAAGTGTTGATTTTCTTATTTCATTCAAAGAAAATGGCGCCTGAAGCGCATCAAGAGTTCCAAAAAGTTTACGGAGATGCTGCTCTAAGTAAAACAACGTGCCGTGATTGGTTTCGTCGCTTCAAAGACGGTGATTTCGATGTTGACGACCGTCTGCGTGAAGGAAGGTCAAAAACCTTCGAAGACGCTGAATTGGAGGCATTGCTCGATGAGGATCCGTGCCAAACGCAAGAACAGCTTGCTTCAGCATTAGGAGTTACCCGCCAAGCCATTTCCAAGCGATTGCATGCGTTGGGAATGATTCAAAAGCAAGGAACTTGGGTTCCTTATGATTTGAAGCCAAGGGACGTTGAGCGTCGTTTTTTCGCCTGTGAACAACTGCTCCAGCGGCAAAAAAGGAAGGGTTTTCTTCATCGCATCGTGACGGGTGATGAAAAATGGATTTATTATAGCAACCCAAAGAAAAGAAAGTCATGGGGACTGCCCGGTCATGCTTCTACGTCGTCGGCTCGGCCGAATATTCATGCTACGAAGGTTATGCTGTGTATTTGGTGGGACCAGGTCGGTGTTATTTATTATGAGCTGTTGAAACCGAACGAAACCATCACTGGGGAACGGTATTCAATTGATGCGATTGAGCCGAGCACTGCGCGTAAAACGGCCACAATACGAGCAGAGGCACGAAAAAGTGATTCTACTGCATGACAACGCTCGGCCTCATGTTGCGAAACCCGTTAAAACCTACTTGGAAACGCTCAAATGGGAAGTCCTACCCCACCCGCCATATTCCCCAGAATATGCGCCGTCCGATTATTACTTGTTCCGTTCGATGGCATATGGTCTGGCTGATCAGCAGTTTCGTTCATATGAAGACATCAAAAAATAGCTTGATTCGTGGATAGCCTCACAAGACGAACGCTTTTACCGTAACGGTATTCGAGCTTTGCCAGAAAGATGGGAAAAAGTTGTAGCTAGCGATGGACAATACTTTGAATGATTCATTTGTAACCATTTTTTCACAATAAAGTTGCATTTTCATAAAAAAAACAGCGAGAACTTAGTTGCGCACCTAATACTTTCCTCAATCTATTTTGATTAATAATGATTTTTTACTGAATTTTTCTGAATTTGTACTGGAATATTACTGAAATAGTAATAAAATTATAATAAAATTTTAACAAAATTGGGCTAGTTGTGAATACTTTTTAGAAACATTTCTGCAAAAGTTTATTATATTTTCAATAAATTATTTCCATCAGAGCGGATAATATTTTGAAACGTAAACTTAAGTAAAAAATTATTTCTTATATATTTCATATTTTTGTTATAACTTTTTAATAAAGAATTTTAAAACTTATTTTTATATAACATTTTTTCTTATTTCATTTCATAGAACAAATAATAAAGTTTGTATGGAAAAATCTGGGATATCCTCTCTGTTTAAAATGTTGGATAGGAAATGATAGAAAATTTATCTACCACCATATTGTATGGTGATTTTGATTCACATATTTCACAACTCATTTACGAAATTTTATAAGTGAATTCATAAGATATGATTAAACTACATAGATATTCTTTTCATTTTTATCTGACCATTTTGTAATCATCATTATAAGTAGATTTATTATGAAAGAATATTATAAGTAGTTTATTATAAAATAATAATAAATACGTAATGCGATATTTATTATAATTCATATATTCATATTATAATAGAAATATCAATTTATTATACAAACATCAATATTCGAGATGATTAAAAAGAATAGTGTCATAAAATATGATTAAAATATATAGAAAATCTGTGTTGTACGGCTTCGGTGCATGATAAGTCGTATAAATCAGTATAGGAATTCTATCCATTTCAATCATATCCAATTATTTTCTATCAAATATTTTAAGCAGGGCTGTATAATTTATTGAATTACTACGTATGCCTGTATTTTTAATTACTTCAAATTTTTTAGTAGTTCAAATTTTTTAATATTAAATTTCTATAAAGGAGATAGAAAAAGAGAGGAATTACGTTATAAATCTTTCAAGAATGCATTATGACTATTACTAACTTACACATTTTTTAGATATTTCTGCAATTAAATGAAGTTCTTGTAAAATAGTAGATATGAGATATGATAAATATTAATACACCATAGGTGTAAAATTTTTAATATTTTTTTGCTACTTTCCCATAAAAATCATAAAAATCGTATTTACCAATTTCTGCATCTTGGGCTCTGCGTCCTGATTTTTATTTGAAAATTGTTCAGCCATGGCTGTAACTTTATTGTAACCAAGCGCACTACCTTCTTGAATCTTCTTGCCTATACTCTTGAGAGTATTGTCTATATCAGCGTACTTACTATAGGTATCCTTTGGATCGTTGCCCCGTTTCTCCATTTTGATCTGCCGAGCTAGAAACTGAACAAAACATATACACATCTGAAAAAGTGTAAAAAAGTCAACGTTATTGAGTGTTTTGTGCTAACCTGCTCGCGACTCCATTTTGGCACTCTTTCAATGCGATCATGACGTACGCTGCGACCCATTTTATTCTCCTCGATTTTTTTTTCAATTTCTTTTACATTCCAATCAGTTTTCTCGATTTTACCTGTACAAAGGATTGTACTATTAATCTGTAGCGCACAATACAATGTTTCAAATAAATTAATTTTAGTAAAATGATATACACAATATAATTTTAACTCTGAATTATTTAAATTTTCTTTAATTAAAATTCATCTTAAAATTATCTCAAAGTTATCCCTAGTAGCATAAAATGTTGGCGCAATATTGGGAAATTATGTAAATCCAATATTGATTGATTTCCTAACATTGATTCAATATTGTAAATCCAATATTGATTGATTTCCTAACATTGATCCAATATTGTAAAATGGATATCGCCTCTTATTTAACCAATATTGGTTGGCAATATTGGTCCAATAATATTAGACAATATTGGGCAAATATTGTAACGCTCTTGCGTTACGTGCGATGGTCTTAGTCGGTACGGTCCAAGGTTTAGGCTTAATAAATTTGAAGCAGTGTAACAATAAGTATAAATTATGTGCAACAATAAGTATAAATTATATTCTCGAATAAGTGTTATTTACAATTATATACAAGTAGAGCGACGCCGTTGGTGCGTGGTCGCGTTTTTGTCGTGATGATAGCTGCGTTTTTGTCGCGTTTTTGTCGCGATGACAGCTGCGAGCGTCCGGACTCGTGCGCGGTTCGCGGGACGCGGTCGGTGTTGTTTCGCGGTCTTCTATCGACCGCGCTGTGAGTTTGTGTACTCAGCGGGATTTAAACGGTTGTTGATACCGGCTTTCAATCGAGCCGGTTTCGAAACGGTTATTGTCGCGGTGTGTTTCGCGACTTGTATACGCGAGATGCGTTATGCGACGTCGGAGCGGTTTGCTAGCGCGATGATACGTTTAGCGTCGTTCTCGAGAGCGCTCCAATGCGTTGGAGATCTCGGCCGCGTGGTCGGTGTTCTCGCGGTGGGAATAAGCGGGACTAGGTAGCGGATGTCGACGTCGTGAATCACCTCGGTCGACGAAACGGTACTGGTAGAGGATGTCGACGTCGCATATCCAACTCGGTCGACGGGATATCTAGGAAGTGGTGAGGCGAAAGGTTCGCTACGAGTTCTGTGCGGTTGAGCGTCTCAGAGGAGTTCTCCGGCGGATCTCTCTTGATATTGTTTTCGCATCCGCTTTTATACGCGAATTTTAGAAACAGCGAAGCTGTTTGTTGATTTCGCGGATGTTCGGCGCTTTGTTACGCGGGTCTTCGCCGTAAACAATTGAATAATTGTCGTAACGATCTGTTAACTTTCATGGATCGTCACAATGTTAAGCAATAATATTTACTCAATTTTTTCACGTTGGACATTAATTGGATCATAATGTGAAACTAGATATTCCTAGAAAATTTATAAAATGTTCCTAAAATCCATAATTAACATTCCAAAAATATCCCAAAGTATTCCGGAATATTCATAGAATTTATAAGGAATATTCAAGTAAGCACAAAGAGTTCCACTTTTTACAAATATTGGCGAATTGATTGAAATGAAGAATTAGTCAGCATTTGCTGACTTTACTTGAAATTTAAGATTACTTGATTCCAAATGTTATATTACACTTAAAAATTCTTACTAACACTGGGATTTGAAATTGGACTTGAGGCACCTATAGATTATGAACTTATTGCTTTAGACACTATATCACTTCTTCGATCTATATAAACGTCTTATATTTTGTCTATATATGTTGCAATTAAGGCAATAATATAATTTTTTTATATGATTTAATTTTAATAAAAATTATATTTTCCGTACTTTTATTATTAATTTAAACATTAACTAGTGAAGTGAGGTCTACGAAACATATTCCGCATATTCCATTTCGGCCTTAAAATTTGTATAGTAAAAATTTTTTATTGCTCTTATTAAATAGACAAAGTCATAAGAGATTATAAAATAACGTGTAAATGTTGAAATATAATATTGGCAATAGATTATCATTTATTCAGAAATCAATATTAATATTATAATTAGGAAATATTGGCCAATGTATTAGGTGGTAAACTTAGTTCCTGCGGCTCACGGTTAGATGACGTTAGTTGTAGGTGTAATTTATTTTGACATCTGAAACTGGCTGCATTTTAGAAGTTAGACATTTGTCAATAAAATTCAGTGCGAAGAGATTCATTTAAGCGAGCAGTGCTATTTTTTCTTTTGATTAAATATGGAACGTGATAAGTTGTTTTTTCGACATGTGCTGCTTCATTACTTTGACTTGAAAAAAACTGCAGCTGCAGCTCATAAATTGCTTTTCGAAGCTTATGGCAATTATGCTCCATCGGAAAGAACATGCCAAGTATGGTTTCAGCGATTTAAGAGTGGTGATTTTGATGTCAATGATAAAGAACGCTCAGGCCAACCGAAAAAGTTTGAAGACACCGATTTGCAGGCATTATTGGACGAAAACTCTACTCAAACGCTCCAAGAATTGTCTGCAGCATTAAATGTTACTCCGATGGCTGTTTCCAAACGTCTACATGCAATGGGAAAAATTCAAAAGGAGGGAAAATGGGTACCACACGAATTAACCGCAAATGCCATTGCGAATCGCTTAAACATCTCTATTTCTCTGCTCGCCAGGCAGAAGAAGAAGAGTGTTTTGTGGCGCATAGTGACTGGCGATGAAAAATGGATATACTTCGATAATCCAAACGAAGAAAATCATGAGTAGATCCTGGCCAACCATCGACATCCACACCAAAGAGAAATATTCATGGCCACAAAGCAATGCTTTGCATTTGGTGGGATATGCACGGCATCGTTTATTATGAGCTACTCAGACTAAACGGAAGTATCACGGGGGATCGATATCAATCACAATTAAACCGTCTGAATGAAGCATTGTTGGAAAAAAGGCCAGCAGTAGCCAGCAATCGACGTAAAATCATGCTTTTGCACGACAACGCTCGACTACACGTTGGCAAAGCCGTCAAAGAAACACTGATACAGCTCGAGTGGGAAGTTCTCCCGCACCCAGCGTATTCACCAGACTTAGCTCCTTCGGACTATTACTTGTTCCGGTCGATGCAGCACGGCTTGGTGGACTTCAGAAATTACGAGGATGTGCGAAAATGGATCGACGAATGGATTGCATCAAAAGACCAATCGTTCTATCGTCGCGGAATCTACGTGTTGTCCGAAAAATGGGAAAAATGTATAGCTAGCGAGGGAAAATACTTTGATTAATGTATTTTTTGCTTTTGATGTCGAAATAAATGAGTTTTTTAAACAAAAAAACCGCAGGAACTAAGTTTACCACCTAATACTTCCAATGTAAACACAGTATCGTATAATTGTTGTAAACATAACATTAGTCGTTCATTAGCCTTTATTCTATATATAATTTTCATATTATGTTGGAAAATATTGGCCAATGCACTTTCAATGTAAATGCAATATTGTGTATTTATTGACGTGTTATATTGGTAATAGATTAACATTTATTCTGAGATCAATACTAATTTTATATTGGAAAATATTGGCCAACGTATTTTCAACGTAAATCCAATATTATATAAACATTTGACAATATTAGTTATATATTTGTAATTATTCCATGCCTAATTGGCTTAACATTGAGGAATTTGGCCAATATAAATGCAATACTATCTTATTATTGACACGTAATATTGGCAATAAATTAACATTTATTTCTTTAAACAATATTATATTGGCAAATATTGGCTATTGCATTGCCAACATAAACACAATATCGTGCAATTGTTGAAATATAACATTGGCCGTACGTTGGCCTTCATTCTATATGTAATATTCATATTATATTGGGAAGTATTAGCCAATGCATTTTCAATGTAAATGCAATATTGCGTATTTATTGATGTGTAATATTGACAATAGATTAATATTTATTTTAAGATCAATATTAATTTTATACTGGGAAATATTGGCCAACGTATTTCCAATGTAAATCCAATATTATATAAATATTTAACATACAATATTAATAATATATTGCTAATTATTGCATGTTCAATATTGGCTGAATATTGGGAAATATATATTCCCAAGATAACCAATGTTTAGCCAACATAAAGCTAACGAATTTTGCTACTAGGATATATGTCATTATGTATTAAAGAATATATGTTCCTCGCATATAATTAGATAATTAATAAAATCATACTTTTATAACTTTCTAAAGGCACACCGTTACTAGGTTACTAGGAGAATAATGGATAGTATGCATACATGGACAGCGGATCTTAAAGCAATCTTTGACTTTGAGAGACTGACAGTTGTACCACCTAGTACAGTAACATTGTTTCTCTCTGTAGTCGCCGTGCGCTCGGGATTGTGTTAGAGATGTAGTTTCCAAACGGCATCCCTAAGCGTTATATAGGGAGGGGAGAGTATTGTGAGCAAGGTTGGGTACGCATAATACTTCACGTTTTATGCGTAAAGTTTTATGTACAGAAAACTCGAGTATAATCTACGCAGATAAATAAATGAGGTTTTCTGCTGCATAAAACTTCTTTTAGAGCTATTCTACATTTGCATAAGCGTGGTCGTAAATGCTTCTATATGATTACGACAACCAATCAGAATAAAGTAATTAATGAATAAAACATTCTGATTGGTTGGCTTTATAACTATTTCGTATATAAGACAAAGCATAAATATTTGCCCATGATCATGAAAAACATGAAATTGTTAAATCTAGTTCATCGTTGTATTCTATTTTTTAATTTCTTTATATCTACATGTATATGTTGGTTCGACCTCCTGGGGGTACGTACCTGGTACGTCCCTAGGATTCTTTTCAAATTACTTATTTTTTGGCGAAGCCGTACCGTTTCGGTGATGCACAATATCTCTTCTCAAATCATGGAATGGTATATTAGTGCAAGCTGCCTGGAACTATATATTGAAGGAAGAAAGATTATTTTAGGTTAGAGTGAGCATATCTCAGGAGTTTTCTGCATTTTCTGCATGTTTTCTGCATATTCTGCACGTTTTCTGCGTATTCTACGCGTTTTCTGCGCATAATAGACATTTGA